CTGTCTGGGTGTCTTTGTTCACTGTTTCTTCTATAGCTTGGTCAACAGGGATCCGGCCAAAGGGATTGGTGGAGCCCAGTTGAACAGAGAAGCCTCCTGTCATGAATTCTGTGTACACATCTGGGTGTGTGATGGACAGCTGAGACATCTGGGCGTAGTAGTAGGGGAGGTAGCGTGCATAGTTCATCCTGTCATATGCAAAGCACCATGGGATCATTGCTCGAATGCTTGCCAAGTGTAGCATCCAGTCTTCCTCTCTGGATGCTCGGATGAGCCCCAGCAAGATTTCGACCATGTCCAAATAGGACATCCAGAAGCTTGAGAGGCTGCCGTTTCCGCCACTGAGGAACTTGCGGTAGACTTCAAACAGTTCCATGATACGTGTACAAGAGCTCTTCTCGAGGACCTCCTTCAAAGTGGTTTGTGACACATTTTCCCCAAGGCTGTCAATTGCCTTCAGTGTTTCATCCAGGTGAACCATGTCATTCATGTGAGTTGTTTCCAACCAGGAGAGGAAACCATTCCATGTCAGTCGCATGAGAGCCTCATACAAGAGCTTGTGTAGTCGCACTGCCCTGTTGTACTTGCGGCCATCCATAACACCAGCAATGGAGCCTTCTGCGATTATGCCAGACTGAATGCACAGGTCTCCAAGTCCAGCATCTTTGAAACACTTTCCTATTATTGCTAGCAGTGTGCAGATGGTGTGAAATTCCCCAAGCCTGATGATGATGTTCTGGAACTTGTGTGCATGTTTGCATGTGATCTCAACAGCCTTTGCATACAGGGCTTGGTCAAAGACACAGACAATCTTTGTCAGGCCTAAGCACCTCATGATGCTTATTGACTGGTTAAGCACCTCATTGACAGTAGACATTTGTGTCGCTGGAGCATTGATGGTAGGCAGATAGCCTACATTGTCAGGGATGACTGTCATATCACTGCAAGTCAGGATGTTGAAGCCTGTCCAGTTGCTGACTGACTGGTCTTCTTGTTGTGACATTCTTGCTAGGACTCAAACAAGGTTCTTCTCTCTGGCAAGCTGAGTATTGGCTACAGTATCAGCATCTGAACTTTTGCTTTGTGGTGGCCCCACCCGTTGTCCAGCATTGTAAGTTGGTAACATTGGCGGGCGTGAATCAATGCTTCTGTGCTTTGTTTTGGCAACAGTCAACCCAGTCCCTGTCCAACCCATGCCCACTGTCTTTGCTTGCACAGCAATTCCATTGACTCTGTGAGATGTTCCCTCTCCACTGATGGTTTCTTCAAGACGATCAATATTGTCCCAGGCTAAAGTTGTGAATACACCAGGATGGATGTTATTTGGTAAGGCAATGTCACTCCCTGATGCTGAGAGTTTCTGAAGACACAAGGCAGTGTCGATCTCTTCCATCTGTGAATAGGACACACTATGACCAAGTCGGTTGAGGATGTTTATGAACTCTACATTCCCTGTCAAAGACTTGACACTGAATGGCAGAATGATGTGCATGGAAGGTTTGATCTTTCCACATGTCACTGCATATAGGATGTCATGGCCAAATGATTGTAGGAGCCACTGAACTCGGATCGCATGATCAGGATCATTAGAGCCTGTGAGTAGATGGCACAGGAAGACACTGAGTGACTCTGGAATGGTAGGACATTCTGCTTCTGGTTTGACTTCAGGTGGCCAGGCTTGAGGAACATCTTGACTCTTGATGTCCCCTCTCAGTTTGATGGCTGCGTTTGCTATGACATCTTGGGCACTGGCACTTTTCAAGGTCTGCAGCTCACTTTTAAGGGACTGGTTTTCTTTGATGAGTTCACTCATGGACAGGTTATCTGGATAAAGGAGGTCTGAGTTTCTCTGTCGCTGTTTAACTGTCTCTCTCTCTTTCTCTGTTGCTGTCTGAGTTTCTCTGTCGCTGTTTAACTCTCTCTCTCTCTCTCTCTCGCTTTCTCTGTCGCTGTCTGAGTTTCTCTCGCTCTCTCTCTCTCTCTCTCTCTCTCTCTCTCTCTCTCTCTCTCTCTCTATCTTTCTCTTTCGCTGTTAACTCAATTCAATTTCAATTTAAAAGGCTTTCACTGTACCATCCCCATAGGGGGCGCGCCCCCAACTTTGAGAACCACTGCCTTATACTGACCTTGGTCTAGTTAATGATGCCCTTCTAGTTTAAGGCTCACAATCACCCTTGACAATGAAAGAGTATAGGCATATTATACATTTCCTGAATCCTTATGGTCCTGTGATTATTCCAGTTTTTGTATTTTGTGTCTCTGTTGTTCCTAGATGGCACAGGGCTAAAAGATAGTATATCATTTAGACGAAAATTATGCAAAAATTTGTGTTGTTTATAGTTTAAAGAGCTACAGTCACCTCTATGTTGGTCAGAAAGATTCACATCTTAGCTTGACTGAAAGCTTAAAGGGCCCCTTTAAAATGATACCAAAGACAATATTGTGAAACATTGACAGATGTCCTGTACATGAGTCTAAACCAGGATATGCACCAGCATCTAAAATGTAATTTTCTGAAGGGGGTGGGTAACTTCATGAGCTGATAACTATGATACAGCTGCCACTCAGGAAGGGTTATCATACCAAAATATCATCTACAGACATAGATCGTTTCAAAAATTATAAGTAAGTTTGGTCACCTTGAGTGGTACCGACAAGTGAAAGTTTGGGCTCTGGCCCAAGGACTAATAACCGAAACATGTTGAAACACTTGAAAGACAAATTATTTACCACCATAGGTGGAAGTAGGAATAAAATGCCTTAAAAATGTGAAGAAGTAATGATGATGAAAGATGAACTGCATCCTGAACATTAGAAACTTTAATTTAAGATTTCAATAAGCTGATTAATCGCTTAATAGCTGGAAGTGTTGTGAATACTTTAACGTTTGAATGAAGCCTGTAGCTGAAAGTATGCTCAAGTACTCGAGTTTCAAAGACGTAGAAGTTTTGAAGGATTTGAACATCGTCTCCATTCACTTACACTGTAAAAAAATGTCTTCAAGAAGCTGAACGTTTTGATAGTTGAACAGTTCATATAGCACAAAGTATGCAGGAGTAGTTAACAACCAAAGGAAAGTAAAAGGAGGATCTGGAGTATAACACTAGTGGAGCAGATAAAATTCAACATGTGTGCTGCTATATTAATTGTTGTTCCGTCCAGTCTGAACTGGTATCTCCCTCTATGACTACTAATTTGTAAACAGCTTTGTGTGTGTGTGTGTGTGTGTGTGTGTGTGTGTGTATGTGTGTGTGTGTGTGTGTGTATGTGTGTGTGTGTGTGTGTGTATATGTGTTTGTGTGTGTGAGTATATGCTTGTGTGCTAGTGAGTATCTGTTTGTGTGCCTGTGTCTGTGTCTCTGTGTGTGTGTGTCTTTCTATCTGTCTGCGCGCCTCTCTGCTTGTCTGTATTTATGTGTGTTTCTGTGTCAGTTAGAATGACAAACTGAAATCAACTGCCGAATGCTTCCTGATTACAACTGGACTGAAACATATTTCCAGTGAAAACAGTTGAGAGGTGTGTAAATCATTGTCTGTATTTAGTGTTGGAGCAGTCTGTAGCAGTTTTTTTATAGAAATGTCAGAAAAGTAGTTGATAAAACAAAACAAAAAAGTTTCTGATCAGGTAATTTGACCTAGCTGTGTATCCCCTCCCTGCACTCAGAGGTTGCCATGGTGACAATGCTGTCTGTCTGTCTGGCTGCCTACCTTTCTTTATCTCTGAAGAAGGTAGCACCTGGAAAACACTGGGTAACCTAATTCACCAATCAGAATGAGCTCCAAAGGTAATCCACCAATTAGAATATATGTAATGTGGAGTCAGTTATATTGCAGACAATAGAAATTTATTTATTTATTTTATTTTATTTATTTATGAAATTTGAGGAAGAAATGATGTGTCAAGATCGAAATATGTGGCCATAAGGACAAGTTACACTGATTTTTTTCAGACAAATTTTATAGCATCTCCCACTCTAGCGATGATATAATCCACTCTAGCCCTGAACATTCTGTGCCATACACACCCATTATAAACTCAGGAATTACTGAAAAAGCATGAAACTAAAACTGTGATAATTCAAAAACTGTACAAGATATCAAAACGTTGAATACAAGTTTAATAGTTTAATAGAAAAAAATTGTACATCCAATAATCTACAGAACAAGCTGAACGTTTTGATAGTTGAATGGTTTTTGTATGAAAAAGTATGAAGGAGTAGCCTCAGCATTCACACCAATACTAAAGATTTGAATAACAATAGTGCTGCAGCATTCACACTAATAAGTATGCAGAATAATAATATATGCCTTCAATGCTATTGCATTGCAGGCACATAATAAAAACCTCTCAAATCAACATTATGTAAGAAGATCTGACAGTAAGTAAAAAGAGGCAATAAGGTATAAAACAATATAAATAAAACATGTATCATACCTAAGGCTGCGACAAAGAAATGTGTTTTAAGAACAGATTTAAAGGAAGTTAGAGTTACAGTGTCTGATTTCATGTGTGAGGGGGCTCCAGAGTGTCTGAGCTCTAATAGCAAGTGCCCGCTCACCCTTAGCCACAAGCCTTGACCTTGGGGGACCAGCAGGCCTCCATCTGCAGATTTCACCTCTCGTTTGGGCGTATACCTTGTCAATAAGTCGAAGATGTAATTGGGTGCAGAGCCATTTAAGACCTTAAATGTCAGTAATAAAATTTTAAAATCATTCTGAAATCTAAGGGAGCCAGTGAAGGGAGGCCAGCACTGGAATCATGTGACTCAGAAAGTTTTGAGAGACGGACTAACACATTGTTGGTTTTGGTGTTTTCATTAGATTTGTTGAGAAAAGATTAGAATCTCAAGCTAAATATAGCATGAGTTGTGTGTTGTATGTATTTGCATTATATCAGTCCTTAGTAAAAAGTAAAAACCTCAGCAGCCAATTATAAAATGTGTTAGCTTGTAATATTTATTTTGAAACAGTTTTTCACATTTTGCTTTCTTCATTTACAGAGGATCAGCACAGCAAGCGGGGACGGGAGGCACTACTGTTACCCACACTTCACCTGTGCCGTTGACACAGAAAACATCCGGCGTGTCTTCAATGACTGTCGAGACATCATCCAGCGGATGCACCTGCGGCAGTACGAGCTGTTGTGATGGGAAAGGAAAGGGGTTCAGCCAAAAACACAGAAACAGATTGGACAATGAGAAACCCTGAACCCTGAGTCGCTTAATTTCCCTCTTCCACAGAAGTGTGAGAGCTCTTGTGAAGGAACGGGGGCCAAAACACACACACACACACACACACACACACACACACACACACACACACACACACTCTCTCTCTCTCTCTCATTCATTCATTCATTCATTCATTCATTCATACACAGACACACACTTACAGTAAACACACCCTGAACCCAGAATTTCCCCTGATTCAAACTCCCCACCTACAGTAGACAGAGCTGTTTTGATGGACTGGTTTGAGGGGCGAACACATTAATGAAGTCTTTTCTCCACCTTCAGCCAAACTCCCAGCTCCTCACCTCTCCACATCACGTATCATCCCTTTCCTTCACCTCTCCAAATCCCTGACAGTCCCAGTCTGGACTGTATTTCCTGCAGTGAGGAGGGTTTGAGCTATAGTTGAGATTGTAAAATTTCCCTCTTGTTCAGGTTGGGATGAAAACTGAGAGAGCTACTACTTCAGTGTAAGTGGAAAGTGGGAACTGTTGAATTACTGCAAATAGGGAAAAAAACATGTCACAAGAGCTGAAAACTGTATCTAACAAAAAACACAAGCACTGTGCTCAGGACTTGACTCAAACCATGTACACCAATCGATCCTATCACATACACACATCCATAAATCTAACCACGGGGTCTGCTTGCACACAGAAACATATCACATCTGCTTTTTACTGGACTGCACAACTGCAGTGGATCCAGAAATGTACTGATCTGCTGATGATCGACAGGCTCATCTACCTGCTGGTGGATTTTTCTAGCACAGTGCTTTGAGATTAAACAGACCGAGTGTCTGACTGTGCAGACGAGCCCCGAGGAGCAACGTTGCCACAGACTACATGGACCAGGGTTGTGCTGTGATCAGTCATAAAAGCAGAACAGAGCCGACTCTGTGTGAATTTCTCTGATGGAGTCTGGACATGTTTGATAGGGGGGGGGGGCGGTCCCTCGACTTCTTCACAGAATTGTTTTGCCACCTTACATTGCCTTGTTGGTAATGAAGCAAAACGTGAGGAGGATATATTGAGTTTAAAACAAAAAAGAAACAAAAAATATGCCATCTTTTTTGGAACTTAACAAGCAGAGGGCAAAAAGCATCCTTCTACAGTACAGTACCATATAAGTTAAAAAGAGCTCTCATCTTGTCATGATTGACCCTGTTTTACTGTCTCCACAGCTGTTTTTGTCTGTGTAGACTTTTGTGCCATTGTGCCCTGTGCGCTCTTTTTCTTTATCTGTATGCTCTTTCGGTCTCTGTCATTCTATCCTTTTTTCACCCCTGCTCTTTCTCCTCTGAGAATCTACTCACTTCTCCATCTTCGCATTTCTCCCCCTCTCTTTCCACCCCCCACTTCCTCCCCTCCACCACCCTCCCATCTGTACTTTTACGTGTCTGGTAGTGCTGTTTTGTTTTAAGAGAAAATAAAATATAATAATCCTGGAATATAAAAAAACAAGAAGATAAAAACAACAAAACAGGACACTAATGTTCTTTTGGTCAAACAACCTGCTCACACCTCCCTGTCATTCCTCCCTCTGTCATTCCTCCATCTGTCCTCCTTCCTCCCTGACCTCCCGCTCCTTTGTATGTCCATCTTTATTTTACTGCTGAACTATTATTCTTGTACAGACTGTAAAATGTATTATTTTGTACAACTTTATTGAAAAAATAACTTTTAGAAGATCCCTGTGCCTTGATCACGACTGTACGTGTGTAATGAGCTAAAGTGGGTGTCATACTGCGCTGTATAGCTTGGCCAATCCCCTCCTAACTCCCTGCCTTCCTCGCCATTTCCTTTTCTCTGTATTTCTTTATCCCTCTCTCTCTCTCTCTCTCTCTCTCTCTCTCTCTCTCTCCCCCTCCCTCCCCTCTGGGACAGAGGACAGCCATTCGAAGCTTTTGTAGTTTTATTTGTCTTCCCCTATCCTCCCATTCTCTTTATGATTTAAATGTCTATTTTTGGATCCATATACCCCAAAAAGATAAATATATGAAATGTATATGGGTTTTAAAAAAAGTATTTTATTAGAATCAAATGAACATTGACAAATTGTACACTTGATAGTGTGCGTATTGCTATAACTTAAATCCTTTCAACTGAAGTTGTGTTCAGGTTTCTTTTATTTTCTTACGTTTACATCTGCAAAGGATATTATGAAGGTTTAAAAGGAGACGACAGATGCAGAACATTGTTTGTTTCTATACAAATCTTATTCTTTTGGCCAAAAATGAAAAAAAAAATGAGGGGGGGGGGGGGTCCTCCTTAGCCTTGCACAGCAAGAGGCAGCCTGTACAGTATTAGCGTTGCTCTCTTTTCAGTGGCCTAGTCTTCATTTAATGTGTACATCAAATATGGGTCTCTACTTTCTGAACAGGCGCTTTAAGAAATAAAGGTTTTTTTGGTGCAGACAGCAACAGGTCTGTCATTACACTTTAAACACACTCTGAGACAGGTCTGACACAGGCAATACTTCTGTCTACTCTCTTACATAAGCTGCATTTTTGCATTCTTATCCCTCAGTTTTCATCGGCAGATAGGGTTGTTGTAAATCCACACAAGAGGAAGTGGAGTTTCCTGCTCATTTAGCAGTCATTTCCTCTTCAGATACACAGTCTGTATTTATTGGGACAACCATGAAGGTGGTGCAGGGCCTCTGGTTTTGTTGCTCAACAACATGGAAATTCGGGATGGAAACTAATTAGCAAACTGTCCTCACCCCCTATGAAAATTTAACTGATATGCCTTTGTCCTGCACTTAGCTCCTCTGTGAGTCCCTGAAGGTAAAAATGTCCTGAGTGGACAAGTTCTGAATATCTGGCCAACAATCAAACACTTAACCTCTTCAGTGCCACAGAGCAAACTATTTCTGTGCAGCCAAACATTGTTCAAATCCGAAGAACTTGATTTAAATTTTTAGTGGAGATTCCAGAATTCCCTAAGATGTCAGATATGTTGGGCTGTATTTGGGGGAAATGTGTATAAAATGCTGCATGAAAAATCTAGAATACTTACATTTGACTGAATGGTGCGGCCCTAAAATCATGGATTTCACTCTTTAAATAACAAACTATCTCTTCATTGAAGAGCTGGAACAAGCTGGTAATGGATCTTTATGTATCTTTATGTTATACTGTCAATGTGAATTAGCATATATAATATTCCCAGTGTTTAAGCTGCTTACAGGGAAAAATAAAAGAACCTGATTTAAAGGAGTCATTTTACCCAAAATATAACCCTGTAGAGGGGTTACCCTTGGACCACCACACTCACATAGCAAGTTAGTGCCATTTTCATAGCTAGATAACACAAGCTAGTGTCTCTAGTTTCAGATTTTCTGCAGACAGACACATGGTCGCCATAAAACACATGAGCTAACAGTCATACCTTGTTAAAATATCCTGTTTGATGTTTTTGAGTGGTGACATATTGATCTACAGGAGCTAATTTACTCTGTGCTCCTCCCAACTTCAGTGACGTTTCGGTTGATGTGGAGGTGAGTAGAAAATGAGTAAGATTTGCTTTTGATGAAAAGTGTTGCTTTAAGTATGCAGGAATGGGCCTTAAGACAAATATGCACCAGCAGCAGCAACATCGTAGACCATACTTGTCAATCATTTTCTATGACGAGTAGAGTATGATGGAATCACAAGCAGCAATATATATATATGTTTTTAATATAGAAACGGAAGAAATCTGTGGAGGGAAGTTTAGAATGCAAAGGTGAACTATGACCTGGAAACAGTGGAAAAGCAGAGCAGGGTAACCAATCATACCTGACATCTATCTGTGTATTTAAGGTAAATAAATGTAGATTTCAGCCTGTTATTTACTGCGGATGTAACACACTGTAAACTGTGTTTGGATAGATAGCATGTCTGTTCTACCCACAAGTAGAGAGTGCAAGGAAATTATCTGTAATTCAATGAGAAATGCTGTGCCTGCCTGGAAATGATATTTAACAGCCATGTTGCTTAGAAACGGTAAAAAGGTAGTACAATTGAAGTCATGACTTCTGTATAGAAGTCTAAAGAAACTAACTCTATTCATTCACAAATGCAGACCTGGAGACTCCTGACTCAGCTCCTTCATGATTCATGTATGGCCTTGTGATTGTTAGCCTGTCTGACATCTTTAGGGAGGGAGAATGTTACATCGCTCATAGATTTGTATAAATAAATATGAATGTAACACTCAATAAAAACTGCCCCCTATTCTGAAGAAAGTCCACCTTAGAAAAATTTCAGGATGTGCTGAAACTACTGGTGTGCGAACCATGGATTAAATCCTATGCAGCTACAGTGTGTTTGTAGTCGAACCTTGGTGAATGTTTGAAAGTGAAATTGCATAAATTTGATGATCTCTCACTAAATTTATTTGCAGCTATGATTATGTGAACTTATAGACCTACTGTGTAGTGTAGGAACTAAACTAACTGGGGTTTCCAAGGCACTGTAGATATGATGGCCACAGCTGCTGTTAAGGTCATTGATGTCCTCTGTAATTTTGGGGGCATTTGCAGTTTTAGCAACCTGATAGTTGAAAACACACATGGTGCATACTTTATAGGCTGATTCCCCTATTTTTATACTCAGTGAGTTTAAATGCAACTATGATTAGACCAGCAAAAATATAAACCATCAAGAATTATATTCCTGGCTCTGGCTTTGAAACAGCATAAAGAGTAGCCTTGTAAAATACTGCATAACTGAACAGTCAACTAAAACTTGAATAAAATAAAATTAAAATAAAAATAATTAAAAAAAAGTTTGACCTTTTTGGTTCCTGGTCATAATCTTCTGAGATTGTTTGTAGGTGCAGCAAGCGTACATGACCTCAGTTTTTCTTAAACACTTTCTAAACACTAACTGAGGTCATGACCCTACTGACATCTGCTATACATGGCAGTTTCATTGTTCATCCTAAAATCAACCAGTAGTCTAGAGATTAAATAATTGATTAATTGACTGACAGAAAATCAATGGCAACAATATTGGTAAGTGAGTAATCATTTCAGTTCATTTTAAGCACTTAAGGCCAAAATTTCTCTGGTACCAGCTTCTCAAATGTCAATATTTTCTATAAT